GGGGTTTTTCTACATTCCGCCGGTTGGAAACATAGGCACTTACAGAAACTGCTAGACTCGCTTCTCCATAAACCTTCTTGGAGGCACGGCTCTCCTCAACCATATAAAAATGAATTTGCCTTGCCCCTGCTCATAGTACTCCCAGAGTCTGAAGCAGTCCTTCAGCAGTACCTCCCATCTCCACACTCGGGAAGCCCTGGCCCCAGGCCGCAGGGCATGCACGTCTTGACTGGCCACTCTGTAGAAGCCACACCACATCCTCCTGCCCACCATCCCCCCACCCCAGGACCCAGTATGGACAGGCCATCAGGACAGACTGCCTGCTGGGGGACAAAACAGCTGATCCAACTTTTTTGAGATGAAATTTGCCAGGGCCAGAAAGGGCATCCTCTTAAAAACCCTTTCAAGAGCATCTTAACCCTTGCAGTGCCTCCTGGGGGGCTAAAAGCTACCCCTGTCCTCTGACTCACTAATGCTGTAGAATTCTAAGTTTCTAGAGAAGAACTCGGTACTGGTTCACAAAAGCAGTGTGGGGGAGAAGAGGGTCGATTTCTTTTCCTCACGGCTCTGCCACCCCTGATTTGCTTACAGGGATCTCACGGCCATTGGTGTAGAAGAAGGTACATAATTCTATAATAACGTAGGCTGACAATATGGAAAAAAATGTTGGTTCCATCGCTTGCCAGCTATATGACCTTAGGCAACTCACTTGAGCATCTTGCTTTCCCTATCTGTAAACTAGAGGGAAATGGCACCCATCACATAACGTACGAAGGAAGAAGGATCAAACAATGCCAAAAGTTACATGTTGAGCACAGGATCTGGCACACAGAAGGGGAATAGTAAATATTTACTGTTCATTGAGACCTAGTCAATGTATCTCATAAGGGATTATGTGCTTTATCTGGTCCTCTAATTTCGTCCTACAACTCTCTAAGATTAAGGCCTGTATTTATAATCACTATGCTCTCATTCTTACCTTGTTTCCCTAGGAGAAATAATTTCATGTCGGTGGCTATTCCTGTCTGCAGTTTTCCCTTGAAAAATTGCTCCAGGATGGGTACTTCCTAAGGGGAAGCTTTCTCTATTAGGTAGACAGGAGGGGAAACATAAGGGCAAGCCTTGACCCACCATTACCAAGAAATCAACTGTGGAAATGAGTCATCTTTCTCTCGCCACTGGGCTGGACTTGGTGATTAATGGGAGACATTTAAGATAATATACTTTCTTGTTCTAGTTTTGATAATTCAAGCTCTTGGAAATGTGAGCTCGGAGGATGAAGAAAAAAAGAACAAAGTCAAACAATATTCTCTTTCTAGTTGCTTGCTTTTAAAAAACTCCGTGCCTTTCTGCCAAAATTTACAGAATCACCTATTCCTTGTCTATGTCACATTGCTTTCCTTTTTTCCCTCCTCACCTCCAAAAGGAAATGAGTTCCAGCCAAAATGGTTATCATAGATCCGCAGCACAGTTTCCAAGTTACCAAAGGAGACAGAGGAGCAATTGATCTTACTGGCACAGGCCAACGATGGGAGATAAGGGAGTAACATGTGGGCCCAAGCAGCTATTGTTGTTGCGTTGTTTTATTTTATTTTTTTCAAAGCATGAGTGTACAGACTCTGCTGGCCTGAGCCCTTCTGATTCTTGGGAAAGGAAAGATACCTCAGCTGGAGTCTCCCCAGAGCCAGGGTCCTCAACATTCAGTCCATCCTTGCCACTCAGCAGAGCGTTATGACCCACCTTATGAGATGGGCTCTGAGGTCCAGCCACCAAGAGCACCCTTTGGCCTCAAATGTCACCCCCCCAGAGTGAGGCCACAAGAGTGATCATGAATGAGATTGATTGAGTACTTTCCTCAGAGTTAAAAGGGCTTCTCAACCTTTCATTTAAATATCAAAAGAGAGGCCGTTAAAAGGGGACTTGAAATTTCTCCTTTATGAGGATGAAGAAGCCCAAAGACACTGCGAGCCTCACCTTCAATGGTACAGCTGGGAAGTGGTAGAGCCAGAAAGGAGCCCAGGTCTTGTCTCAGACCCTAAGCATGCTGCTTGGAAATGAGCAGAGAGAAAAGGGAGGCCCGGGAAGTGAGAAAAAAGGAGAGCAAGACCTGAGCAAGACCTGAAATGAAGATTCCCTACTCAGTGTGGCCTTGACGTCTGCTCAAGACTGGAGGGCCTCTATGGTGAGCCAAAGGCTGTCCACCGACTTCTGCTCCCCGGTACACACTCTCTGGCCAGACAACCCTCTTTACCCATCCGCTCTGGTGCCAAGCCCTCGGAAACTGCGCAGCCTCTATGTGACAGAGGTGCCAGAGTTTGTTAAGCCAAGAGGAATCAATAAACTCGCCGGAAAGCAGGGGCACAGTCTGAGGGGTATCCTGCCAGGACGTCTACTCCCCCACAGGAGCTTCCCGAGCGTCCGCCATGCTGCAGCCCTGCTACCGGTGTCTATGCCAGTTCCCTCAGTGCTGGTCACACGGCCTGTGAAACAGGGACATGTGCATTACCCTGATTTTGCAGAGAAGGAAAGTGAAGCAGAGACAGGTTCAGCAGCTCATGCATGGTTTGGAAACAGTGGAGCCGGTCTGGGGAAAGGGCTCAGGAAGCAGTCTATGTTCAGAGCACTTCCGGCGCCATCTGGTGCGCTGCCGCAATGGAGAGCTACTTGACTGGGTTCCTAGGTGGCTCAGGTCATGATCTCAGGGGCCTGGGATCGAGCCCTGCTTCTGGCTCCCTGCTCTGCAGGGAGCCTGCTTGTGCTCTCTATCTCTCTCTTCCCCAAACAAATAAAGTCTTAAAAATCTTAAAACAAAAACAAAAAAACTACTTGACCGAGCCAGCACAATGATCCTGTGAGCCTATCATCACATAAGTTCTTGCGCCCTGAACTATTCCCCATGAAAGTTTTATGTCTGTAATCAGAGTATTCCAACAGTGGTAAGGGCAAATGGGAACAAGGTCTTTCTTTTTTTTAATTAATATATAACGTATTATTTGTTTCAGGGGTACAGGTCTGTGAATCGTCAGTCTAGAAACAAGGTCTTGGAGTAACTCAGAATCTGTTCTTTCAGAACTAGCCCCAAGGGCTGTACTGAGTAGATACTCAGTACAGTTGAGGCCTTCTGACTCGGATTGTGCACAGCAGTTGCACACTTTCATCTTCAAGGCAGGCTTCACATCAATTCTTCCATTTATTCTATGAAGTCAGTATTACTATTCTTGCTTTCATTTTATAGATGAGGAAACCCAGGCAGAGAAAAAAGCCAGGGACACATAACTGGTGAACAGTAGAGCTTTGGATTGAAAACAGTCTGACTCCAGAGCATGGTCTCATTGACTGTGATACACTGGCAGGGGGAGGAGGTGGGGGACACTATAAACAGGAAGATGGAGAAAAATAGAGAATTCCAAGATAGAGTAGTTTTCTGGGACTGCTGTATCCAAGTACCATAGATTGGGTGGCTTAAACCACAGAAACTTATTGTCTCACAGATTTAGAGACCAGAGGCCAGAGATCAAGGTCCTTTGACCTTGCAGGGTCAAAGTTGTCAGTCCTTTCTTTACAGGCTGTGAGGAAGAATCAATTCCAGGTCTCTCACCCCCTCCTGACAGTGTGCTGGAAGTCTTGGGCATTCCTTGGCATGTGGAAACATCACTCTGATCTCTGCCTTTATCTTCCACATGGATGCCTTCCTGTGTTTGGGTCTGGCTTCAAACTTCCCCTTTTACAAGGATACCAGTCACACTGAATTCGGGCCCACGCTCAAGACCTTATTATAACTGGATTGCCTCTATAAGGACCCCATAGAGGAGCAAAGTTTGCCACTCCCAACTGTGTGTCTTTGTCACGTGGACTGTTTTGTGCTGATGACTTTTCTTTTTAATTAACATAAAATGTATTATTAGCCCCAGGGGTACAGGTCTGTGAATCGCCAGGTTTACACACTTCACAGCACTCACTGTATGTGCTGGTTACTTTTAAGAAACATAAGGCTCAGGAAGAAACTAGGACTTTCCTCCTAACTGCCTAAAAGAATTGAGATGGAGGAACTGCTGCAGGAAGGGAGCTCTCACCACTGATATCAGTACAGTATAGCGTGAGCAGCAGACAGGGAGGAACTGAGCAAAGTCTGTTGGTGAAAATTCCTCTCTAGGTCCCAGCAAACATTTGTTCACCAAACATTTACTCTTTTTCATCCTCCTGCGGGTTGTCTTCCTTCCCAAACCCCTACACCCTTCTCTCCCTAACTCTGAATGGCGTACCAGCCTCAACTACCTGACTGCCTCTGGGCCTCATTTTCTTATGGAGACCCTGTACGTACAGAATTAAGTTTTATTTTCTCCTGTTAATCTGTTTAATGTCCATTGCATTCTCAGAGCAACCAGGAAAACCCTGAAGGACAGAGAAAATTTTTTCCTTTCCAACAACCCTATCTCCAAATAAAGGCATGTTCTGAGGTACTGGCAGTTAGGACTTCAACATAGGAATGTGGGCAGGGGGTCACAATTCAACATGTGACACAAGCTAAGGGCCATGCGGCCTATAGGCTAATAAGCCCGAACTCCACAGGAATGGGGAAGGAGAGAATCCCTGAGAGAGGAGACTCAGAGCTCCCTGGAGAACAGCTTAGTGTCTCCAGAGGAGGGTGGGTCAAACTTCAGCAGAGGCTAGGGCAGGAAAGGCCAGGCTCAGGGTTTCTCTGGCACCAAGAAGGAGTGTTCCTGGATGGGTTACCAGTTTTTCCTGACATTGCCTCAGGCCCTCCTTGCACAACCCTCTCATCAATGAAAGCCAATAAAGTTTAAAAAAAAAAAAAATGAAACAAAACCAAAAAATCCTAAACAACAACAACAAAAAACCACATACAAAAAAAGAATAACTTTAGGTTGTCTGTGGAAAGCCTCAAAAAATGTCAACAAGTGCTGAGTCAGGAAATTCTCCTCTAATAGCTTTTGTTGGAAACGTTTAACATTTCAACTTTATCTCTTCTTTTCTTTCAGACAGCTCCTCAGAAGTATTCAAAAGCAACAATACCATCATTCAGGACTTCTGGCTCCCTGAGGACTAGAACTGAGCCATGGCCAGCAAACACCCTTCAGAATCAGACCAGTGGACCAGGCAAACACTCTAAGGAGCTGCTTTCCTTCAGCCCTTCTGAGCTGGGGGAAAGAAGGACCCCACGTCTGATATGCCAGTGCCTGTTGCCATCTGGCCACCGAAGAGAGTGTCCCCTCTATAGGGACTGCTTAGCGTCCAGACGCACACCAAGACCTGAGGTATCATCTTTGGCAGTGGGCAGGAAGTACCAAGGAACTTGCTTCATGGGCCCTTGGATGCCCCCCAGAGACTCATGGTCACCCTCACGTCATAGGACAAGAAAGAGTTCAGGTAAGGAAGGAGCACAACACTTGCTTATTTCAGCTTTCCTCACACCTCAGTCTCCATGTGGGGTCCCAGGCCACTCTGCTATCTCTGCTTCCCTGTGCCAGTGGCCACGATATGACTGTTAGCTCCCTGAGCACCTCCGTGGTCTTCCCCATCGTGTCTCACCTAAGCAGGGTGGCTATCTTTTTCTGAACCAAACAAGCCAACAAGGGCAATAGCAGAAGTTGTGAGTAAAAGCCAGGAGAGACTATCCAGAGGGAATGGAAGTACGGCAATTTCATGTGGCCTAAGCTGGTTGCTGCCTTAATTAATATGTGCCCATCTTTCACACCATCTTTCTGGTCAAAGAAGAGGTGTTTTTTAGTGCAGAGCCATAAACAGCAAGGAAAATAGAGGCACATTGCCCTCCCACTACTCATGCGCAAAGGCACCAGTCTACTCCCGAAAGTGGATTCACAGACTTCCAGGATGGTGTCCAGTGGGCCTCACATGGAAAGTGCATCCTTCCAAACAACTTGGGTGGAATCAATGAGCCCACTGTTCTCAAGCGTGAGCTGAGGAATAGCATGTCTAGGACAAAAGAGGAGTCGGTACCAAAGGTAATCTTTTGTCACACAATCACCCTGCTAGAATAAATAATGCATCGTCATACGTTGATTAGGATATTAATTATCCAAATTAATATTGTGAAATCGTTATCCCCATATATGAGATCTGAAGGAAGAAGCTGAGCCAGCCACCTTTGCCCTTTTCAGCATGAGCATTAAACATTGCTGAAGACACAGCAGCGAGGGCCACACTCACCCTCCAGACACAGACCTGGGATCACAGCCCAGCAGTCCCTGAAGGAGCCACTCCAAGAAAGGCTGGGGAGACTGAGTCACAGGCATCACCCCTGCAAACTTGAGAATGTTCACATTTCTCAGCCTGTGCCATGTTTTTACATTCGTTGCCCAGTAGAGGACTGGCACGGAGAGAAGTATGTGCTGGTCCTGTGCTCTCGTGCATTTACTCACACCAGGAGCAGGTACCATCATTCTTATCTTACAGATGACATTAAGAGAAGAGAAGTGACTCAAAGACTCAAAGACCAAATTATCAGGGTAATAACCCTTTACCTTGCAAAAGGATGTTCAAGTCAGATTCAAGGCCAAGGCAAAGGGTAAGGAGTTTGGTGTTAGGAGATTGTGAGCACAGAATCTCTGACATAGAACCAGCCCAGTGAACTTGTTGGGATATGAAAGGAGACCAGTTTATCCTTAGCCCAACTCAAGCTCTCTTTAGATGCCCTCCGCACCCCCACACAGCATCCTGGGTTTACCCTAGAGCTTTCTGAGCTGCTCCCACCTATAGAACAAGTTGCACTGTGATACTTAAAAGCTATTCCGGTACTAAAAAAAATCCTGTCTAAGTCAAAACTTCTTTCTCCCTCTAGACTGAAGCTTTTTCCTTTCTGTAGCTGAGGACTGACTCCCCTTGGATCAGAAATTACAAGGGACCTGAGAATGTCCTTCCCCTTTTTTAACCACATCATTTTTCCTCCCCACTTCTGGGTCTTTGTGGGTCAGAGTAGAATGGGGGTGGGAGGGGCTACAAGGTGTTCAGGAGTTTTGCTTGGTGGTACTCTCAGCAGTGATTTCTTGACCCTGAATGTTCTTTGTGCCACAGGCATTCAAATGTCATTTATGAGAACCCATACAGGAGACCTCCTCCCTATACACTTTTGGGTTATGACTAAAGAACACTCTGGCTGACCTTTGAGGAACACCCCAGCTCCTTCCTGGCTAGCTTCCCACTTCTGCCCCTTATGCTTACAGGAAGACCTCTGGCTCAGGGTTCCCTGAAGGCACAGGTGTATCCATATGGCCCAAAGAAAGCTCACACATGCTTGCCATACCAAACGGCAGGGGAGTGGGCTGCCCACAGCCATCTTGTCTCCTTACTGTGCTTGCTTGCTGTGCTGGATTACTCCAGCCAGCCTCCTGACTTCAGAGTACCCCACACAAGCTTTAGGCTTTAGATTCACATCTCCCAGCCCTACCAGACTTTCATGGGGAACTACAAACCTCTCACAAGGTGCTGGATGAACCTCTTCTTTTCCTGTAGCTCAAAGCCAGATAGCCAGAGGGCAAGGGTCCATCTTCTCTTCCTACAGGCCCCCTGATCTCCCTGAGGCAGGCCCACCCCTAACCCTGCAGGGCCCAAGGCAGGAGTCCAGATGGAGGTCCACATGCCAGATACCCAAATAGTTAAGAGTTAGAAATCTAGCTAACAATACTGTGAAATAAAGTGCCTTCTAGCCTCCTACCTTAACAAATACACCTTCCTCATGGCCTGCAAGATCAGTTTGAATTTAGAATTCTCAATCCCCTTGGAATTTAAATCTGTGAGACGTGTTCCTCCCATCCTCAGACCCTGGACCCCAGCAGGCCCTGGAAGGCATTCTAGGAGAAGTGGATACCTGGAATGTGGTACAGAGGGGCTTCAGGAGGACATGTCCCCTAATGCCACAGCTTGCCTGCTCCATGGGGAGGATGCCGGAGGAATTCCTGAGATACTTTCTCTAAAACATACAGGTCAGAATGGGAACTCCACATTAGGGTGGTTCCAATGAGTATTTTTTCAGCCTTCCCTCACCAGACTAGAGGGCATGCCATGGGAAGGGGCAGACAAAGACAGCAGTCCTATCCCCCAAAGGCCCTCAGCGACCTCCTCGAGGACTCCCCTTTCTATGAACGTGCTCGTAGAGACTACTCGAGATGGTGCAGGAGAAGGGCAAAAGGCCCATCTGGCCACCTCTGAGGGAGGTGGTGGGAGATATTCTGCAGTAACTCGGGTGCTCCCACCAGATGATGGAGACCAGTCTTTGCCTCTTGTCCTCAGCTTTGAGGCTTTAGCTACAGTCCTGACACAGCCAGCCAGCCCCATCAGGTTACAGAATAGACAGGCACATAGTACTAATGTGACATGGATTTTCAGCTAAGCAGGAGTGTTTCACTCGCCTACAGTTTAACACCGTGTGAGGTGGGGAAAGAAAAAGCATGATTCACAGATGGGCAGCTTGAAAACCAGACTCTATTCTGTGACAGAAATAGATTTATGGAAATGTGTCTGCAGTGAGGAAGGAGACACCAAGTCCCTGCTGAAGGAAACTTCACAAGGACTTTGGGAGAGAAATGTGCTGTTTCCTTCAACTGAGAGCAACTGTTGGTATGCCGAGGCCTCCAGTTGGGAGATCATTGCCCTCACATCGCAACACTCCTTAGAACTACCGTCCCCACCACGGAGTGTCCTCACTTCCTCTTAGTGCCATCACTTCCGTCCAGAACCCAGCCTCCCTGGCCTCTTCTTCCCACAGCTGGGATCACCTGGCACACTGGGATCCATAGACTCAACCCCGCTCTGGTCTCTGGTCAAGAGGGAGTTAAGGACGTTAGCCTAGTACCTCAGCACACAGGAGGGCACAGAGAAAATAGAACTTGTCAGGAACTGGAGCACCTGGATTTCAGTTGTGATCTGGCTACTTATTATTATAAACATTTTAGATGTCAGTGAATTTTTGAGGCTTCATCTGGAAATGGGGGCTGTGAAGAATATCTGCTTGCCTACTTCAGTGGAAGTTGGTAGATCCAATAGTGTCATTTGGAAAGTATAAGTTCTGAGTTATTAGTGGTATGAGATAAGGCTTTAGGTAGGAGTGTGGTGGTCTTTATCTCTTAGAACCATGGCTTTGCCTTAACTAAAAGACCACATAATGACAAGAATCTTGTGGGATTCATACAGAAGGAGAAATCTGTAATCCTACTGAGGGCCTACTACTACCACTGCTCCTACTCCTACTGGACCCTCCCAGCTCAGCCATGTTCCTGATGATTGCCACACTGACCACAACAGACACAATGTCGTCCTAACCTACACCTGGCAAACACCCCTGAGGGAGCCCGCTGCCACTCCCCTCATGCCTGCAACATCCATTCCAGTCTAAACGGAGTCGAGCTCTGTCAGAGGCCTCTGAATGGACACTGATGTCATTCCTCCTTCCCGGGGGGAAAGCCCTTTTGGCTGTTCCTTACTGAGCACATCAGCCTTGTGCTGGCCTTGGCTCTCTTACCCTGGGCCAGCATGGAACTATTTGTTTTACCCATATCCGTCACTCTGTTTCTGACACCCAGTGTGGATCTCACCAAAGCAGCCAGGCTAACCTCTAGATGGCTCAATACCATGATCTTTAAGCAGGTTACTCCAGGACATGGCCAAGAAAGGACTTAACTGTGTAATTCACTAAAAGTATGAACTCTGGGCATCCCTTCACCTTCCGAGTTCCCAAGATATTGAGATAAAAGAATCTGCTGGGCTTGCTGCACAGGCTTATCCTCAGGTTCAAATAAGGTCTATGTGAAAATGAGTGGAAGAAGACATGGAATAGTAATTCTTGTATTACTATTACATGTGTAATAGTACACATGTGTAACATGTCATAGTAATTCTTGTGACAGCTGTCCTCACACTGCTTCTATATTCTCTTCCCCAGCCTACAGAGACTGTGGACTTTCAGCCCTTCCCCTTTCGGCCATCCCACTCAGAGTCCAAGAGCTCATTGACTCCTCATCCTCCTGGGCATCCCTGCAGTGACACGGTTGCCATGGACACCAAGCTGACGCCTCCCTCACAGGTAGGACGCCCGCTATCTCAGCCTCTTTGCAGCACCCTACCAATGTCAAATGAGAATGGGGTGATCTCAGGTCTGGGCCCTGGTGACTGGTCCCACAGGCATGGTCATTCTCCAACTGCCCTAATTGTGAGCAGTCTGGCCCATGGCAGGGCCTCCCCCACAGCTAGGTAGAGTGCCTCCTCCACCTGTGTCCACTCCCGTTCTGCTTCCTGGGGGGAAGATGGCAAACAAGTCCACCAGGACAGGCCAAGCCCCAAAGACAGCAGCCACTGTATATAGATGAGGGAGCAGAGCCTAGGCAGGTCCATTGTTCCCCTCCCATAAGGCTCTAATGGGCCATGCTTAGGGTAAACTCCCAAGGACAATGCCGTTTCTGCCTGTGTGGAAGGAAAACTTTGGAAGGTTCCAACTCAATGCTTCTGGAGTCTGGGCTTTTTTCCTTACCCTCATCTTTCCCACACAAGAAAAGGGGATGCTGGGCCAGCTCTGAAAATCTGGCCTGATTGTGGTATAAAGGGGTTTATTCCCAAATGCCGGAGTGCCAGTGGTGCTGGAGAGGCTGAGGAAAAAAAGGATGGAACTGGTTAATCATTTGAGAAAACCCAGAGGGCAGCGACAATCAAGATTAAACTGGGCAGCTGTGCTGGCAGAGATGGGGGGTGCAGGAGGGGGGCTTCCTTGCAGGCCACCGTGATCCAGGGTTTTAAAACTTTTACAGACATTTGTCTTTACTCCTCATAATAGCTGTGGGGAGAGAAAGAGTGAGAGTTTAATATGTCTATCCTTGCCAATCTTTATTTCCTCCTGACAAACCACCCCCACTGCTGCCCACCGTGCCTAGAAGAGCCCCCGGGTGTCAGCTGGGGCCAAGTGGTGGTTCATGGAAAGCAGCTGGAGCCCTTGCCCCAGCTGACGCTCATTTCGCGCAAAGATCCTTGGGAGGTATTTAAACGGGAGCCAAGCGGCTGACTGTAGGGCTGACGGTAGGCGTGGTCAGAGTGTGCTAGGGTGGAAGGAGCAGTTAGAGGTCCAAAACCAGAGAATCAGGCCTGGAAGAGCAGCGAAGGAAAGGGCCAAAGAACATAAGCAGAGAGAAAGTGTAGAGCCTGCCCTCAGAGTAAAGACTGAGTAGAGGAGGGAAAGGAGGAAGATCAAGGGATGAGAAAAGAAAGGGCTAGGACACGAGGAAGAGAAAAACAAGAGAAAGGCTTCGGAGGAGAGGAATTAAAAAGAAATGGGTGACGGAACGCTTCCTTGGGTGGCTTAGTCCTTAAGCATCTGCTTTTAGTTCAGGTCATGGTCCCAGAGTCCTGGGATTGAGCCCTGTATGGGGGTCCCTGGTCCCTGGGAAGCCTGCTTCTCCCTCTCCCACTCCTCCTGCTTTGTTCCTGCTCTTTTTCTGTCAAATAAGTGAAATCTTAAAAAAAAAGTGTAAGAGAAACAGGTGAGGAAGGGAGAAATCCCCAAATGATAAATGAATGAGTCCTGTAAAAGCCTTCTTTGTGCAAATTAAAACTAAAAATCTCTGTCCAAAACATGGAATCACATGTTGACTGAGTTCCTAATGCAACCCCCCAAAACAGGGCTGATCTGCACCACCCTGAAAGTGAGCTCTGCCTTTAACTGTGCCCCTAGAGGCCTCGTGTCACCAGAACCCTAGGGCCCTCCGCACTGTCTGCGTTAGAATTTCCAGGGAAACTTGCTAAAAGCACCCAGGCCTGGGCTCCTGCTTGGAGCACTGAATCCAACTCTGAGGAAGGGCTCCCCTGGCAGGACTTAGCACTCCCAGGTGATTCCAATGTGTCAGATGATTCCAGTGTGCCATCAGTCTAAAATCACGAATCAAACTTGGGAAGTTGAGCTCTAGGAAGGTAAAGCTGGCTTTCTGGCCTTCCCAGATAATCTTGTTCTAGGGGAAAATGTGCTGAGATCTTAACTCCAGATGTCAGGCACACAGCAGCCCCCTCAGCTTGTGTCTCACCCACCCACACACTACAAAGCTTAGTCAGTGAGAATGGGGAACAAAGCAGCCTGCAGAGCTTCCCCCCTTCTCTGCACCCCCACTCTGCCTGGGACCCATTTGTAGGCCATTCAGTCCCATGGAGGAGAACATTTCATAACTTGTTTACAACTTAGGGGGTTTTATTCGAGTTGGGTTCAAGCTGACCAGAAAGGGGGAAGGAAACGTGTCAACAATAACATGGAAGGAGCTCTATAAGAAACAGCAGAGTCTTCAAGTTAATAAATAAAGAAGACACATGCCTGGAAACGGAGTTGAAATGTGGCTTAACAATTCCATACTCGGAAACTTGCTGAGCCAAAATGTCAGAGAAGCTAGTTCCTAAAACTGCGTTAATGTGTGTCAGAGCCGCCAGACAGAACGAGATCATCCCAAACAAATACCATCATTTCTCCTGGGGAAACAGAAAGGAGTCCCAGTGTGTACGCTAAGTTCTACAACCTGGGGGGGGTCCCCCGAAGGGATTTCTCGGGAACCTTCTGTGGCCCTCACTCCCCACTTGTGGGCCCACCACTGCAGGGGTCAGTCCCAGTCCCACTTCCTATGGATCCCTCAAACATAGGCGCCTGGGAAGTAGGATGCGGCTTGTGAAAAACACCCGGGGAAATAGTTGGCAGCAACACAAAGCTTCGTGAAATCCTTAAAGCCAACAAGACAGAACAGAACAGGCCAGAGGGTACAGCCAAAAACCTGTCGTTTCTTCACCTCTTCCAGAATCACACAATAGCAAGTCAATCAAATAATTGAATTACATAAGCAACAGCCAAGGGAGGACTTGCTATGAAGAGCCAGTGTCGGGAGGCAAAGTGGGTCTCTTGAATTCCCTTCCAACAAGACTCCCAGTCTATAAATGGGCTCTGGGTCCAGTGGCCGGGCTGATGAGTCACTGGGACTGCACAAAAGAGAGTCCAGCGTCCTCGGAGAGATTTTTTTCCCCACTGAGACTGGTCATTAAGAAGCAACTGGTGTGGGAGATGATGTGGAGGCCTATGCCTGGGTCTCCCTCCCTCTTACTCTGTTAGGAGTAAAATAGCACTTTGATGCCTAAATTCCATGAATTCCTTTGTGAGCCAGGCTCTGCAGTTACCAGGATTGAGACTTCCATAAGGTACCCCAGAATGGGGGTCAATAGAGGGACATGGAGCAAGGAAGGTGGTACTCAGCCAGGGTACAATCGGGACAAGCTCAGGATACAGGGTGGCTCCAGGGATCTGGTTGTCTTGTCCTCACAGGACGGGCTGCTGTTCCCATCACAGGCACTCCACCAAACCCTGTTCTCCTCCTATAGCTTCTGTGGTGACCTCAGCCATGAACTTCATGCTTTGCATCTACTCACGGCTTCTGTTCCTTGGGGCTTCTGCTTACTTGTCCCTTCTCTGTGCCCTTTGGTTTCTGTACAACTCTAGAATCTTGCATTCAAGGAGTCCCTCTAAGATGGAGGGGCTGATGAAGTCAGTTAATGACTACCCTGTATGGAGGTTTCGTACTGTGCAGAATTCTCCCTGCGGCCTCTTGCTGGCTGCCTTTGGGTCCTACACCAACAACTGGTCCATACTGCTGAAGCCAGGGTAGAAGAGGGCTTTGTGCAAAGCCTAACAGCTTATTTAAGTGTGAATTCCTGTACCTTTGTCAGAAGGGGGCTCTGGGTAGGCAAGAATCCCTTGTCCAGGATAATCTCTGCCTACTCTGCTACTCAAAATATTTTTCCTAAAAGTATGCTGTGAACCTGCACAAGACAGTAAAGCTAGCATGTGCAAAGCATACACAGAAAAGTAATGCATAACAATAAGGGAAAGAAGTCCAATAACTTCTTGGTACCAGTACCAATGATTCAGGATTCACATACTATATATGGTTGAAAATCACTGTGGTGAGGCTGAATCAGGTGCAAAGGAAAGAAAAATAGGTTCTTAGAGTCACAGCTAACAGTTACCAGGTGTGGGCTCTGGGTCAGGTTCTGTGTTAAGCACTCTGCTACAACTCACAACTATCCTCATGTGAGCTTCTGCCATCACGGTGAGGCAGTGTCACGCCTGCTTGCCGGCTGACTCCATAGCACTCCCAATCCCTTCTCCTTTAACCACTACCACAGAAGCTAAAGAAGACTTTTCCAATTTCCCTCACAGATGAGCTTTGGGGCCCTGTTCTGTCCAATGAAATGTAAGGAGAAATCATTTGGGAACTTTTGGGAGTTTTTTCAGAGCAGTCCTGAAACATGGAATTTTCCTCAGTGAATACCATTTTTTCCCCTAAATCCTACCACCACCCCCCACTTGCACCCCTAGTCCCCACCCCTGCTTCCTTTTATGAATGAAAATGTTGTCTGGACAGACCTCCACTGTCTTGCAGGGGCAATAAATATGAAGGGAAAATTAAGGATGGTGAAGTTGTCAGAAAAAGCCAGGGGCCCTAAGAAGTCTTAACCCCTGTATCCATACCAGCTGCATATCCAAACTGATAAAAGAGATTATTACTAGTCCCATATTGCAGATATGAAAAGTGAGGCACAGAGTAAATAAATAACAGTCTAAGATCTTAGCTGCAAAAGGGCTTAGTCAGGATTCAAAACCAAGCCTGCTGATTCCAGATTCCTAGTCGTTAAGACAGGACTCTCCAGCCAGAAGAAATCTTAAAATTGAAAAGACCATGTTTGGAAGAACCCTTAAGGACTCTACTGTTCAACTCCTTTGAATTTTTTAAAGATTTATTTGAGCAAGGGGAGGGCAGAGGGAGACGGAAAGAGTCTTAAGCAGACTCTGCTGAGCATGGAGCCTGTGAGGCTCCATCTCACGACCCTAGGATCATGACCTGAGCCAAAACCAAGAGTTGGGTGTTTAATCAACTGCACCATCCAGGAGACACCCCCCCCCCCCCTTAATTAAAAAAGTCCACAGTGGTTAAATGTTGGGTCCAGGTCCTGTTGGCTTCCCCCTTCCTGCAGTATTAGGACTGAATCTTGACTCCCCATACAGTATTCTTC